GGCTTCCCCCAGCCCTGCACCCTGTGACACGGCAGGTCAGAGGAGGCACAACACCTCCTTGGCCTCCTGGTGAGGAAATTCACACCTGCCTCTTCCCTTTAGTCTCCACTGACAAATCCCAGAGAGGAGTGGGGTGGGTAAGAGGTGGGGGAAGAAGGGAACCAGCACATCAGGGTTTGGTCCTTCAGGGACCTGCTGACAGCGGGATTTACTTGGCAATAGTGCAGGGCTGCCTGAGCCAGGTTTCCCAGGTAGCATGCAGAAACCAAATCAGGCAGGCCTGGGGTGTGATTCATCTCAGCCTAAGGCAGATGTCTAAATTAGAGCAGATGATTCATGGCCTTGAAATTCCTTCACTGAATATAAGCTTCTCTCACGACCAGGGAGCCTGCCACTGCTGCAGGGATTTGAAAGCAAAGGCTTCCCCTTCTTGGAAATGCCAATTCCCTTCAGGCAGGGAAACTGAGGCACCAGCACAGGGCAGGCTCATGACCAGGCTCTACTTTATGATCTGGACTTGGAAGACACCTGCCAGTCCCAGGGGTACCTCTCTGGTTCCCTCTCAGTGGGATGTGGGGACTGAAACACATCAGATTACAAGTAGCACTCACTACTCGAGCAGCTACCATTTCATTGCACGTGATTATTGGCAGGCAGGACCTACGGGGTTTGTTGAGGAGGAAGGATGAGGACAGGAGAGTGAGAGCACTGACCAGCAGCTGTTGTGTTAGAAAGGCCCTGGGAAGGCTGCTCTGTTACACAGCAGAGCTGTGCTGCCTTACACCAACCTCTGAGAGGTTGCTGTGCTGCTGACGTGCTGTTCAACCTTGGGCGTGTCATTCAGGCATTTCCAGCTGGGGTTTTGGGGGTTTATTTTTATGTTCTCCTGTAATGGGATTGTTGTTTTGGGAAAGAAAGTTGCAACCAGAGTGAAGAGAGTGGGACTCAGGGGATGAAAGGGTGATAGGTGCAGGGGCAGGTACTGAGGTCCTTGTAACATCCCCATTTCCTGCTCACCAGGGTAGGGCAAGGAGGGGTTTCTGGTTTGAGGGCATCAGTCATAATCCTTCCTTTTCCTTCCTGACAGAGGGGGAGGGAGTCACCAGCCCTGACTGCAGCTCTCCCCAGGAAAACAAACCCAAACAACTGACCCTTCGGGAACAAAAAGCCCTTTGCTTGTAGGACACAAAAGCAGATGGGTCACTCTGATCTGCCCAGGTTGAAATCAGTGCTGAGGCCACTTGTGCTTAAACCAGTTTTTCATTTAAAGCTCTTATCAGATGAATATGGTGGATGTGGAAGAAGCCACAGACACTGCAGTTGTTTTCATGGCAGCAGGAGGGGAAACCGTGGGCTTGGGCTGCACAACGAAGCTGTAGGAGATGTGGGCCAAAAAAAGAAAAGCTTGCCTTGCTAATCAGAAGCTCTAAAGCAATTAAACAAAAGCAGAGAGTTTGGAATAGCATAGAAAATTAGTTGTCATTTTGAACACTTTATTCTCTTGTATCACATTTTCCTTGCTGTGAGAGCTGTTTCCTAAATTAATAAAAACAATCTGCAGAGTAACAGCCTCATCTGGCACCTATCATATTTGCAAATCTCAGGAACAATCCTGGACTCACCTGAACAAATAACTGGGCTCCCTGCTGCCTTATCTCTCCACACTGAACTGTCCATCCCTCCTGCCTTGTGTGTACCCAGCACAACAACCCACCTCTCACCCTCAAGCCTCCTGACGTGATTAACTGTGGCATCTTTAATAAAACCTGAGGCAATAATTCCTTCTAAAGCAGAGTGAAGATTTCGTTTACCCGTCCTCCTTTATTTTGCCAAATTCCATTTTTCTTTCACTGAATAATTAATCAGGCACTGGAGCATATGACAGCTTGGCTTAAATTTAGTTCTCACTTCTCCTCTGCAGCCCTCTCGGATACAGAGTTGGGTTTGTCTGAAAAAGCAACACAGAAGGTGCCAATCCCGATCAGATCTTTACCCCATCAAGTCTAACATCTTGTCTCCAGTGGCAGCCAGCATCAGGCACTCAGGAGAGTGAGAGGTGCACCAGATTTTGGAGGAGAAATCAGCACCAACACGCAACCTGCCCAAAAGGGAAGGTGATCCCAACCCTGGGGGTTCTCTGCCATGAGAGGGAGGACACAAACACACACTCCTGCTGAAGCCTGGGTAGCTGCTGAGCTTTGTGCTCACTCTGACTGCCTGTGGGACAGTCCAAGACACTTGGAGCTAGCCCAGCCAGGTGAAAATAATGGTGTGTGCAAAGCCTGGCGGCTGCTCAAAGGCTCAGACCCTGCGAAAATGTGAGAGGGTAACACGGGACAGGTTATTTTCTGCAAAGTGCAGAACTCCAGGCACTGTAAGACAGAATGTGAGATCATTTCAGTCCTATACAGATCTCTACACCAGGGAAGTGCAGCACAGGGATTAATGCTGCACAGGGCTGTGGGATTTGTTTAATTTTTACCCACTCTCCATGGAGGGTTTCTTTTATCGTTTGATTCATTTCACCTTCCCACCAAACATCTGCAAGTTATAGGCACTTCTGCACTAAACTGCTAAATTGATACCCTTCCCAGCTCTGTGCAGGTCTGTTCCTCCAGGCTATTATTCCCAGAGCTGGATAAGCTGGACCTACATCTTGCCTTTTGGTGATGTGCTGTGAGGAATCATCTCCCAAAAGAGGGCAGGGCTTGGATATGCCATGCCAACACCTGGATGTTTCTTGAAATGACTGTCCATGTCAGGACATCAGGTCATGATGAGGTGGGTTGGGGATTTGGCAGGTTTGGGGATTGGAGTGTCTGAGAGGAAGGGGGATGAGGAAAGGAGGTTGGGGGTGTGATCGTGGTCTGGGGGCACACTGGGAAATAGTTCTCATTTAAATAATAGCAAACAACAGCAAATAGATAATAAATATTTGAGAAACAGAGAAAGAAATGGAGAAACAGAGAGAGGATGTGAACAAAACACATTCACATATATTCATACAAGTTGCCTAACTGTAAGGAGACTTTATTAGATCAAAAGTGAAGGACTACTTTTAAAAAAAAACCCAAACGCAAAAACCCCACAATATAACAAAGCAAATTGCCCAAAGTGTGAGGTTTTCTAAGCAGGACAACCAGGAAGAGCTTTCACTGGCATCTAGTGGTGCATTGCAGAGGCAGCTGATGGCACAGCTGCGCTTCCAATGTGGGTTTCCCTGGGATAGCAGAGACTGTTCAGGCCTGGGGGCTACCACTTCCAAACTGGGCTTAGGAAGAGGCATTTTTGGACACAGCCTAACTCTGCCCTGACAGCTTTGTCCACGAAGCCCTTTTGGGGATGAACATAAGGTGCTCTGAGTCTGGTTTTGACCACATGAGCAAAACCTTGGGATCATATCAGGGAATATTTTATCTCACTTTTCTTGGATTTTGGGGCTTGGCATGGGCCTGAGGGGACATCAGGCAGGTGTGGCTTGTTTGAAGGAGAGGACGAGCTGGGAAAATGCAGATGTCAAGGGAGAGAAACAGGAGCTCTGAGGGCACAAGTCAACTGCCCTGGTAGAGGTGCCCACTTTGGAGTAAGGTAAGTTGTGCCCAAGTGGATGAATGGACACTGACACAGATGGAGTGGTAGGATCCTGACCCCTCCTCCAGAACTTTCTGGCAGCAAAGGAGTCACACAAACATGCCCCTCTCAGCTGTTCCATGTCAGCCCCTCATCCGTGTCCTGTCCCAACCTCTCACCCTCCATGGAGCCACACATCCAGATGAGCTGGTTGATGGGGCTGCTGACTGGAATTGAGCAGGACTCTGGGAAGGTGTTATGGAAACAGGAAGGATGGAAAGCGGGGCATGTTGCCCTAAGGAGTCCTGAACATGACTTGGGGTCTGCTGTGGTCTCTCCTGCCTGCCAGGGACCTGCTGTGGCACTTGTGCCTCAAAGCTGACCACCTTCAGTAAGGCAAACTGAATGAGGCTTGTGTGTCTTCTCTGTGCATGTGCTGGTGTAAAGATGGTTGAATTTTCATGACTTCTTTCCTCTCTGGTCTGGGATACAAGCTGGAATGTAGGTGCACCTTCAAACTGGTGCTGCTGCCTCCTACTGCTGGTTTGTACTGGGGTAGGAAACACATCAGGAGACTTTAGCCCAGGCATGTACAGAGTGTAGAGTAAATCTGAACTCCAGGAAGCCAGACACCTCACCATCTCCTGCCTCAGTTTCCCTGAGTCAGAGAGGAGGAGAACAGCATGTTTGCAGCCTTGTGTCATATTTAGGACAGGACTGGAGGTGCTGGTGGATGCAGGAATGAGTGTTATTGTCCTTCCTCAGAGACATAGGACAGCACCTAGTGACTGCCCCAGGGAAGAGTCATGCTGCAGCAGCTTTTCATCATTCCCATGCTCCTAAAACCCTCACAGGGAACCATCCTGGGCTTAGAGCTTCCTGCTGATCCTCTGAGCCTCATTGTGCAGGGCAGATTCAGGAAGGTTTGGGTGCATCCCATGAGGTCCTGCTGAGGCTCAGCCTCTCCCAGGCTGTGCTCATCCCTCTGCTAAATCTACTCCACGTGCCTCAGCACCTACCCTTGTCAAACCCACTCACTCCTTCCGTGCTGTCACTGAGCATTTAAGGGATCCTTTTCTGGAAAATAGGAACAAGCCTCGATGACTGCCACCCCTCCAAGGGAGATTGCAAACTGCTACAGACACAGGAATACTCCCTGGAATGCATCTTTCCTCGCCTGACACTTCCTGGAGTAAGTCCCAGACAATGAGCCCGGGAGGGAAGAAGGATGCTTGCAGTGCCTCAGGATGTTTTCCTTCCCACGACAACAACAACAAAAAGGAACACTCTCATCTGGGGAAGAGGGAAATGTCCCGATGCTGACCCGGGGGCCAAAGCAGGGAGGGTGGGATGGGGACCAGAGATGTAGAGCGGGAACTACAATTCCCAGAAGGCAGCGCAAGCCGGGGACCCTTCCAGCTTCCCACCAACATAGCGGTGCAGAAGAAAGATTCATTAGGGAGAAATTCCCCTCCGCTCCCTCCCAGCGCTCCCGCCAGCACCTTGGCGGTGGCGTGGAAATCCCTCCGGGCGTTGCGAGCTGAGAGCATCTTCCCTGTCCCCCTCCATGCTCCGCCAACCTTTGCTCTTCGGCTTTGTTTGGCTTCACCCTTCCTCCGGTAGCTCTCTCTGCTCTGGCCACAGACTTCCTTTAAGCTCTGTTCTCCACACAGCTTCCAGTGCGGTCACACGGCTGTGCCGCCGAGGATGCTCCGGAGGAGGGAGGTGCCCGCCCGAACCTGAGGCACCGCTCAGGTAAGAGGCGTTCGTTCGTCCCTGTAGCCCCCAAAAGGAAAGCAAGCAGACAGGAGATTCTTCTTTTACCCTTTTTAAAGGATCTGTTGGGTTTTGCCAAAAATCCGGGCAGCTGAAACGCTGCTGGTGGCGAGAGGTGCCCGTAAAGGGGCCGGCGAGGGCATCCGTGGCGAGGACACCGCAGTGAGCCACCGGCATCTGCGGCCGACCGTGTTCGCCCCATCACCCACACCCCACCGGACGGTCCTTGGTGCCGGGAGGCCTCAATCCACCGCCCACTCAGGGGTTCGTGACCTTCCTTAATAAAAACACAGTGCTGAACTTTTCTGAGTCCTCTTTCCAGCCTGGCTGCTGCCGAGGCTTTGTCTGCGTTCAAATAAAACCTGTTGAATTGTCACACAGCTGCTCCCCCACCTATGGAGAAGTCCTGGCCCCTCCCCTCCAACAGCAAATGCTTAACCCCGTTCCTGCTCCAAGTGGGTGTGTTTTGTCTCTCCTGGCTCAGTATAACTTTTCAGGTAGTTGATTTTTTTGTTGGTTTTATTATTACTGTTATTATCATCATCATCATTATCGTTATTATCATCATCATCACCATCATAATTATCATCAATTTTGCTTTCCTGTGGTTCCTCTGTACCAACATGGAACACTCAACTCGGACAGGAGCACCCTTGTGTTCTGGTCATAGCTCCCCAGTGTCAGTGGGGATCCAGATGGATCAGCTGGAGGGGAAACGTGACTGAATCTGAAGTAATCTTCCCCATTATAATTGAAATCTTCATTGACTGCTCTGAGCCCTCTCCTCCGAGGGCCATGTAGCTGCAAACTCTGCACCACAGTTGTGCCTGGATGTTTATACTCCACATCTCCCACCACTTGCCCCCTGACCCATGGCATCCCCACTCCCCACCCCTGCACTTCAGTGACAAGCTCCCCAGCGACTCATCTTCTCAGCCACAGCATCCCAGACCTCCAGGGAGGAGGTGACATTGGCAGCATGTGTCCTTGCTGGCCTCCTGCCCCATAACTGGAGATTTTGGGAGCCTCACCTTCAGCCATCAGTACCATCAGTGAAATGCTGCCCAGCCACTCATGCTCTTGTTGACAGGCATCTCCAGCACCGCTGGTCTTCCTCCCCTCAGCCTTTCTGGCTCCTTTCCCTGCTAGCAGTTCACACTCCTGACAGGAGAGTTATTTTCTAATGGAAATACTTAGGAATAAGACCTTTCTGCCAGTTGAACCCCTTTGAGGAGGACAAAGGCCTTTCAACTTTCCATGTCTCCCTTCTCCAGCTGCCCACTGAGGACACCACTGACTAGTCCTCCCCTGTGCATGGAGATCTGCCTGCCCAAAGCAGGACACCCCAGTTTTGCAAGAGATGCCAAGTTTGGGTTTTCTTCTGAGTTCAGGGGATTTCAGTTGCTGCAGAGTCACTCCCCAAAAATGAGTTTAATTGAAATGCAAAGTACATTACTTAATTAACTTATTAACTTACATATCTCCTTGCTCAAAGGACAGAGGGCTGTTCTAAGAGTAAATCACTAGTGCAGCAATAGAAGACCCAAAACCTCTGTGTCATTATAGCAGTCAGTGCATCACAGGTTCCCCATTGCCAAGGGAAATCATCCTGTTCCTTCTCTCTCTGCTGCTGTCCAGCTGGGGCTGTGGCTTCACAGATCTCGGATGTCACCTGTTGTGTTGACACAGTGAACACAGGAGGTGGAGAAGAAATAATAACCTAATTATTTCCGCTTTATTTTTTCAGTCTGGCAATTCAAGTCTCCGGGAATACCAGAGATACCTTTCCAGGAATGCCAGAGAAGCCTGTCCAGATGAGAGGAGGCAGGAGATGGAGTTACAAACATTGAGTCTGCAAGGATGAGGAATGAGGAAGAAGACCACACAGTCCGTGTTGGCCCAGAGCTGGCATACAGCATGGCATACACCCTTATCCTACCGGGAATAAAGTGCATCCATTGAAGTACACTTTGATGTGTGTGTCCTGATGGTTTTTGTATCCCCACAGACGGTCCATGCCCATAACTCCGTGGCTCTGTTGTACCCACCAGCTGCTTGGCAGCCCCACGGGGTGCAGGGTACTGGGGCACCGCTGCCATGAAGGGCGTGGTTAAGCACAGGGTGCCAAGGACCCACCCGTGTCAGGAGTGTGGGAAATCCTTCAGCAAGAAGGGGAACCTGAAGAGACACCAGCGGATCCACGCGGCCGAGGAGCTCTTCACCACCCGGGGCCACCTCAGCGCCCACCAGAGCGTCCACACGGCAGAGAGACCCTTCTGCTGTGGGGAGTGTGGGCGCTGCTTCCAGCTGGAGGTGTGCCTGGCTGCCCACCAGAGGACACACGCCAAGGGGGGCCCCTTCCCCTGCGCCCGCTGCGGGAAGAGCCCGAGCACCAGGATCTACTTCAGCATCCACATGCGCACCCACAGGGAGAGGAGACCGTTCGCCTGCGCGGAGTGCGGGAAGGGCTTTGTGAAGAGGGCCACCCTCGCCACCCACAGGGAGATCCACAGGAGGGAGAAGCCCTTCAAATGCCCCGAGTGCGGCAGGTGCTTTGGGCAAAGGGCCACGCTGGTGGCTCACCAGAAGATCCACCTCCAGGGGGGACCTTTCATCTGCACGGAGTGCGGGAAGAGCTTGAGCACCAAGAGGTATTTCGATGTCCACCAGAGGAATCACGCTAAGCAGAAGGGGCACGTCAACAGTGTGTCTCTCCGGGTCATCCAGGTTAAAGAGGAGCCTGAGTTTGCTCTCAGGTCAGAGGAGAGTGTGTTGGAGAATATGGCCCGTGAGGGAGATGTAGCCCAGGGGTGTAGCATACCTAGAAACCCATCTAATCCAAAAACCCTTCCTTGGAAAATCCAGGTGAAGGAGGAGCCGGAACCACCCACTGATGACACAGCAAGCACTGCTGCAGTAGCCTGCCAGAAACTTTACATCAAGGAAGAGCCACCAGAAGACCCAGACTATGGAAAGCTCTTTCATCCAAAGATCCCACTACTGGCTTTACAGGGGAGACAGCCTAAAAAGGAAGAAGATGCTGATGGGCAGCATGAGTGGGAAGTCCCTATAACCAGTAACCATGTGCTCCATGTGAAGGAAGAACCAGAGGAAAGCACTGACTTTGGGATGCATTACGGACAGAAACCAAACCTCAGTGCTATCCAAAGGATCCAGATTAAAGAGGAACCTGTTGTGGAGGCCAACCACCAGGAGAGCCAGAGCCCAGAGAGGAAGCAGAAGGAATGCTGCCAGTCCGCCAAAGAGGGGATGCTGGAGGACCAGGAGAAATCCACGTCCAAGAAAGATCCCTCGGCAAAAGGAGCTCCCAGGGGTGAGCGGGCGTTTCCCTGCCCCGAGTGCGGGAAGAGTTTCAACCAGAAGTCGAACCTGACCAGGCACAGGAAGATCCACACGAGCGAGGGGCCCTACAAGTGCGGGCAGTGCGGGGAGAGCTTCCGCATGAGCCGCAAGCTGGCGCGGCACCAGCGCGCCCACCTGAGCGAGCCCTTCAAGTGCCCCGAGTGCGGGAAGAGCTTCACCCAGCGCTCCAACCTGGTGCGGCACCAGAGGATCCACACCAAGGAGGAGCCCTACCAGTGCCCCGAGTGCGGGAAGACCTTCAACCAGAAGGCCAACCTCTTCCGCCACCAGTCGATCCACGCCCGCATGGGGCCTTGCAAGTGCACCAAGTGCGGGAAGTGCTTCCCGCACAGGCGCCTCCTGATCAAACACCAGCTGCTCCACTCCCGAGGGGGAGCCTACAAGTGTGGGGCCTGCGGGAAGCGCTACCGGCTGAAGAAGTACCTGAGGAGGCACCAGAAAATCCACGCGCGAGAGGGAAACGCTCCCTGCTCGGATCTTGGGGAGACCGCAGGGACTGGGCCCCACCATGCTGAACCGTCCCCCTTGAAGAGCGAAGAGGAGAGCTGAGCAGTGGGATGCCTGCTCCTGTGGGAATGTCCTTTGGGAAAGGGAGGAGATGGAGACAAACTGCTCGCCTTATGGTTGTGTGTGGGGGGGGGGCAGGTCAACCTGAAGGTTCAGTGGGGTCAAGAGGCAGAGGACGGCTGGAAAACAGTCCCCTGGCACTTTTCTGAGGACAGCCCTCAGGGGTTCACAGCTGTGGGATGGGGCTGGGGACCCAAGCACGTGGAGGCTGAGGGATAAGAGCTTGGCATCCTTTGTAATGGGGTGTGTGTGTGCTGCTAAAGGCTGCCAAAGTTGTGCATGCCGAAATTACCTTGTGTGGACAACATGTAGCCAGGAGGAGCAGGCAGGATTTCTTTTTGTTACGTTACTGTGTTTCTGGGAAAGATGAAGGGAACCTCTCCCATCTAGGCAAGGGTTTAAAGCAAGGGCCAGGTCTCTCCCCTCATGTATCTCTGATCCAAACCTTAATTCTGCTGGGCTGATGGACCCTTGTTCACTGGGAGAAACATCTGCCAGCCAGACCAGGGTTCTAAGCCCTGAGTCCCTCCAAACCAGGCTCCCAGATTGGCTTAAGCCAGGTCACTGTACTGGGCATGATTTAGCGAGTTCAAACCAAGGAATAGCAGGAATAATTGAAAAAGTCTTCAGGCTTTATGGACTAGAGAACTGTAAATGATTTCCCTATTGGGATGTTTTCCCTTCCCTGTGTAAAGGAGACTGTGCAGCTGCTCAAAAGCATGGACAGTTCAGCAGTTGTTACCACTCACTGCTGATGGTTTGTTTGAGTGTTCCCTGGTCAGATGAATCTTTGTGTTTTGAAAGCCGCTGGTGAAGTGGAGGTGTGGATGAAATCCACAATTCCCTGAGCCACTCCCCGAGGTTTCTTTGCAGCACTTCTATGTGGCCACCTGGCAATGCCACATTTTGGGGTTCCTCATGTTGCTGTAGTACACAGAGTCCCAGAAGCAAGCCTACCTCAGTCCCCTGAACCTGTAAACTGCAGATAAACTGATTCCTATGAAGTTTCCCCTCAAATCCCTCTGATCTGGTGGAGATTCATTTTTGGGACAGAGAAGGCAGACATACAGGGGAAAACAACAAGTTTAGGATGTTCCAGGGGAGAACACCCTTGTTAGAAAAATGGATCTGGGTAGAAATCTCTTTGCAGGGCTGGGAAACCACGTTTTTGGGGACAATAGGGCTGAGCCGAACCAGCCAAACAAAACAGCCTCTTTTGGCTTGAGGAGGGGCAGGGGTACAGCAGAGAATGCCAGCGAAAGAAAATGCTCACCAGATGGATGGTATTTATTTCCTTTTCGTTAGCTGAGCGTAGTCAGGCTGTAGAGACTTTTACCAGGAAGAGGAACTGGTGTGAGAGGTTTGCCAGCTGAATTATTGTGTCCCTGCAATAAGTCAGTGCCAGTAGTTTTCCTAGACATCACCGGATCTTCCATCACTGTGGGTGTCCCAGCTTTTGGGGAAGATGAGAGCTGTTAGTTTGTAATGCCTTTTCAATAAACAAGTATTTAAAGAAAAAAAGGAACAAAGTGGGTGTGTTTTTTGTTGTTGATTTTGGGGTTTTTTTATAAACTATAAGTGACAGAACAGCACTATATATTCTCCATGCAGTGCAACAGGTGAGCAATGGCAGAGCCAGATGGCTACCAGTGGTAGCCAGATGGGTTTATCTGGGGATTGTCATAGAATCACAGAATGGTTTGGGTTGGAAGAGACCTTAAGGGTCATCGACTTCCATCCCCCCTGCCATGGGCAGGGACACCAGGACTGAACAAAGCCAAATCCTCACAGTAGCAAAGCAGCCTTCAACCTTTTCTCCCTAAACCCATTAAAAGGGCTCCAAGAAAATAATAATAATAAAATGCTTAAAATCTAAATAATTGCCTCATTTTTTACTGCATAGGTTTTATGCAGAAACCCACATGTGTCAGCATTCCCTGAGTGGTCTCTGTCACCAAGTGAAAAGGATGCCCACACGGTCTGCTTTTGCCCTGAAGTCTGTACAGTAAATTCAGGATCTCAGTGGAGTTAAGCCAATGTAAATGTTATATTAATGAAGAGAGATCCAAGCTCTGATGACTTTTTTAGAAAGAAATCTGGTCTTCCACCGTAGGTCAGGTAAGGCTTGTCTGGAGACAACTGCTGTCCTATTTCTAGCCATGCACTTTGTTTCCATGGATTTCAGGAGGAATTTGGCTGAGGATCGCCTCGTTGACTCTTGACTATCCGTGTGTATGACCTCAGTTCTGTCTCCAGCACTCAGCATGGCCTGTCTGGATGGAGATGGAGGCAGGCTGTGGTGGGGAGCACTTGAACAAGAGAGCACATTTCGTGCTTCCCTGGGACACCAAATGGTGCTTGCTGTGTTGTGGTGTGGTGGGAATGAGAGGGTCCCTGGCTCCAGAGCAATTGAAGTGCCCTGGGATGTTTACTTGTCCTTTGAGAACATGTCAGTTCCCATGAGAACTTCTTGGAGAATCCCAGGCTGCAGGGAGCTGGTGTCCCCACAGATGGGGAGGGAGGAAAGGAAAAACACCGGGGTGAAAACTGGGTGAGCAACAGGATACTCAGTATCCCATACTTCTACACATGTTTTACCTGTTCACTTTTGACTTTCAGCCTTAGTGGGGAAGGAGTATTTACTTACCTACCACCTCTTATCCCATCCAGAGCCAAAGGGATGCAGCCAGGGAGCACCACGTGGGACCAGGTTATCGAGCTGAACTGCCTGAAACCAAGGCACACTTGGTTCCTCTCCACAAAGGCCACTGCCTCCATCTCCTGACCCAAAGCACAGGCCCTCCCTTCAAAGGGATTTCTTGTGGTGGAACAGAGCAAAGGTGAGAGATCTCCATCAGAACACCAGAGCTTCAGACTGGTCACCACCTGAACAAAGCCATAGAAAAATCTGTGATCTCACTAAGCTTTAAGGTCCCTTCCAACCCAGACCATTGCTTGATTCTATGATATCATCCCCAAAAAATGTACCTGGTGCAACAGCACGAGGTCACAGATACCAGGGAATCTCACTACTCTTTTGCCCAAGGCTTCTCTTCAACTATACAGCTGTTTCAATATGCAGGTTTCACCTTACATCCTTATTTAAAAAAAACAAAACAAGAACAAAACAAAATAAAGAGCATGAAAACACCCCATTTTCTCCTGGGGTTTGTCCTTTATTTTGTAACTGGGGAAAGAGAACCAAAGAGAATGTCAATGTCATTCCTTTTTGTGGCCACTTGGCAAGTTCTTTCTGAGCCAGGAGTGTGACAGGGAACAATCCAGAGTGTACCTTCCTACCCAAAAAGGTCAAGAGAAACTGGAACTGTGTTTCCTAAGGTGTAGTAACATTTCTGTCTCCCGAGCACACTAAATTCCTGTAAAAGACAGGTATAATAGTTACAGTATTTCAGCCTAATTTTAGAGATGGGGAAACTGAGGCAAAATTTGGATCTGAACAAAATCCCACAAACAATGTCAGGTGCACATCCTCATCCTCCTGTTCCCCCATGTCATGCTTTGAAACAGTTATGGGCTCATTTAATCTGAATAAAGATGTCAGGAGAAATTTGTTCGACTTCTAAGTGACACGTATTTGAAATCAGAAACCACGAGGAGCACAAAATATGTAATGCCCAACAGAGACTAAACTCCTTTTTTACTGTTTGGTTCTTTTCTTTTCTTTTTTTTTTTTTAATCACTGTTTTCTTTTAAACCTCCTGAGAGTGTCCTCCCAACATTTAACCTTGGCTGCCAGAGCTGCTGTCTGCAAGGTGCTACTGATGAACAGCCAGGCAAAGTGGCTGTGTCTGTGTGAGTAATTCAACCAGGCCAAGGACACTTCTCCAGCCCTGAGGGCACCCAGCTGGCTTGCATCCATACAGCTAAACTTCATTCAGGGTGGCATCATCCAGCTCTGCCCTGGAACTCATCCTTGGCTCCAGCTCTGGCTCAGGCTAAAAGTTTCAGCATGAGAGTTGAGAAATTTGTGCTCCTCTGTGCAGGAACATCGTGGGGTTTTCTTCAGTGACATGGCTTGGGGTACCTTTTGTCCTGAATTAGCACATGTTCAGCCATCACCAAATGATCTAGAACTTGCTCTGTGACCCAGGCTGGCAGGGCCATGGATTTACTGTGGGCTTCTGAGGGCGCCAGCACTGCTTGTCATAGCCACAGACCAATCCAGGCAGGCTGTAACTGCTACAAATCACCCAGGAACAGGCTTCCCTGGGAGCTGGAGACTCACAAGGAGATTCAGATCACATGGAGGAAACAATTGTCTTGGATTCACTGGGTTGAGACCTCTTCCACCATGTCTGGTAGAGGATCAGACCTGGGCTCTCCCACAGTCTCATCAAACATCCTCTTCCAAGTCACCTCATTTTTGCAAAGTGTTTTGAGATCCACAGACAGAAAGGTCATGGAAGAGGAGAGCAGGATGGCTTATGATGTGATTCTTGGGGTTGTCCTGTGCAGGGCCAGGAGCTGGACTCGATGAGCCTTGTGGGTCCCTTCCAGCTCAGGAGATTCCATCATTCCATGATTCTTTCCTTGCTTGCACAGCTCTAAGTGGGGATCAGCCACGTGAACAGAGTGAAAGAATCCACACAGACAGCTTGGAGGTACCTACTGGAGATTTCTAATGCAAAGCAGTTCAGTCCAACTGCCTAAAAATAGCAATTGAAAAAATGAAAATTTTCTGTTGTAAATGAAAAGCTATTTCCAGCCTGCTGCAGTGTGAGCACTGCAATTTCCCTAAAACAGCACCTGGACACCAAACTTTGGCACCCTGCAAGCAGCATTCCCACCAAGGACTGCAGCTCCCAGGAACCTGCAGCCCTGGCAGGTGGGGACCAGGCACTGTGTAGCCAGGCAGGGAGGCTGGGGATCCCCCCACTCATGCCCAAGAGGGTTTGGGGCTGTTGTTTCCTACCCCCCAAGCCCCTTCTCTCCCTGTCCCAGCTCCTCTTCCTCTGTCTCTCCTCCCCTGGTGGTTTTTACACCACTGACACAGAATTCCCATGAGTCAGCACAAGCAGACATGAGTGAAGTAGCTGGAGGACAAAAAA